TTTGATTAAGTTCAATAGAATTAATCGACAATTATTTTTCAATATTTGTTGATGATAGTGCATCAGCTGCTTAAGGCAGGACTGACGGATAGACCATTCTACTCGGATCCAGTCAGTTTACTAAAATGGTAGGTGAACTACAGAGGAAGTGAGGTATTAGGATCATGTGTTGTTTAGAGTATTTTCGGAACCACTGTCTAGATCAGGTTGCCACAAGGTATGTCCTCATGTTACGCATCTGCAAAGATACGTGAGAACAGAAATTAAAATTGATTGAATTTTGGCACTAGATAGAATGGTCTAAGTCATAAATAACGTTGTTCAGGTTATGTAGCTTTCACAAATAAGCTGAGGCAAATGTTAATAGCCGGAACAGGAGTCAGAATGATTGAGAAAAAAATTATTTGAAATAATTTGCGAATGGTTCGGAGGATAGACGACTTGGTCACTATACAATAGTTCTAATGTTTCAATCCTGTCACCTCCCAAAAACGATTGGCGAATTACAGAAGAAGTGGGACTGGTTTGGTGTTCATGTGATAGCGTCTAAGGGGAAGAGGTATGCAGACCGATTCAGAGGAGGTTGTCTGAGCAACATTTAATCGTCGATCCGAGCTAGTCACAGTCGGACTGGAAGTAGCTCAAGACATACGCAATTAATACGAGTTGAAAAGTGCGAAACTGGATTTGCTGCAAGTGATAAATGGACGCCAGGCAGCATACAAAAGGAGCCAAAATTCAGCTGGTATTTTTCAAGACTCCAAAAGGCAGCGGAGCAGACGGAAAACTTTTGTCATTTATGTACTTGTGGATACTTGTCACGCTATTCAGTTTTTATGTGTACAGTAAATATATTAAGAATTTAATAACATTCCCTTATTAGCTATGGACAAAGGGAATATATGATGAGAAGAACATAAGCGAGTGGAGACAGCATTAGAACAAAAAATGTAATGTAACAAAATAAAACAAACGTGGTGATGGCAATTCTAAACTTGGCAGAGCTGTTGGAATGCAGGAATCAATGGTAAGAACTATTTTAAGATACGCAGATGAAATAAAAGAAGATGGTAAAATGACATCAAACTGATGTGTGCTGATAGTTTATTTGCAGAATGGAAGTATCACAATGATAGATTGTATAAGAATGTGAAAGTACTATTTTCACCGGCAAACACAACGCCTTTATTGCAGCCAATGAAGCAAAGAAAAATTGCGGCATTTAATGCAGACTATGCTGTTTTGGTCTGCTTATCATTTGCCTTTGGTTTCTAATAATATCTGAGTATCCTTAACAATTATATAACATTAAGTAATGAAGAAAAAATTGTACCGTTTTAAAATTTTTATCAAGCATTTTTTTGATGGGAGGAGAAATTGTACAATGAGTTTTGTTCACCCTATTTCGTTTATGCTGATGAGGGACTGATACTCATTGATATGAGTAGACATCACATTTCCATTTCTATCTTAGCAACAAGCCCAGTGTGATTCGAACCATGACATTGCAATATATAATCTCGAAACGTTAGCCATTACGCTACATTGTCACGAGTGTTCTTGAGTCACAGAGCATATGCGAATTTCAAGAAAGGCCAGGCATTTTTCCATATAAATTTATTTGGTGGGATTGTCGATGAAATTAAAGTATAAAAGAAAAAAAAAGTACTGCGTTAAAAGTGTAATTATGCAATTTATTAATGGAATAGTAAGAATTTCATGATTGTATATTTTATGTTAGTTTCTATCAGTTCGATTTTTAGTATTACGACATTTTCACAGGGCGAATTACTTGTACTCATCTCGACTTGCCTGTACTTTGTATTCCATCGCACCCTTGGCCCACACGCCATTTTGTTTCAGTTGTTCAGGGCCAGCCACAATCGCGAGAGATCCACGGCTCCATGGTTCGCTTTGAACTGGCAATCTCGCACATTTGGCGTCTCGACGAGACCGTACTCCGTGGCCCAAATGCACCCTTTTGGCCCGCTTGGCACTACCTTCGCGACAACGGACCTGATGACCTGGCAACCGAAGAGGCTGGCTCGGACGACGGGCTCCCAGACGATCATCTGCCTGTCGCCAGCCCCGGTGTCAATGGCATCGGCAGTGACATCGGCAGTGGAAATGGCGGCCAGTCGAGCGGCGGGGTAGATCGAGCCATGGTGACTCCACACAGCTTGGTCGTCTGGGTTCGCTACCACGACCTGCGTTGTGGATGTCCCGACCTCCAACTGGGCGTCTCCTACCTTCTCGTCATGGACCTCAAGTCCTTCAACCCGCAGATGATGAACAGTCCCGTCTCTGCCAAAACAATCGCCTCCTCTCGAGGTCTCGGATTGACACGAGAACTGTTGCTTGACTCAAAGTCGAGCGTGTTGCCATGGCGACCGGGCTGGCGACGACGACTGGCCCGATTGCAGCGTCGGGAACAGCGCGGCGACTGCGACCGATTCCGCGACCAGACGGCTCGATTGCGTCGAGTCTACCGGCCTTCGCTGGCCGGGCCCGGCAAATCGGCGGTCTCGAGCCTGCACCCCGTCCGGCAGCCGGTCCCCGGGGCCACCGACTACTCCGTTTTCTACCCCCCGAACCGGGAGGCTGCGCCGCTTGCCCTGCGCAGCCCCGCCTTGGCCGGACTCGCCGAGTCCGACAACGAACGCCGCTCTGCTGGCCCGTCTGACAAGAAGACTCAGCCTCGAGACCGGCCCAGACAGGCCGTCATCTTCCCGGCCTATCGGTACCTTTCAGAGCCCTACTCGCCGGCAGTCAACGAGCCCAGTCTTCGCCGTCGCCTCAGTCCTGTCTACCTGCCGCCGCCGGTTGACTACTCGTCCTCGCGGCGTCTGCCCACTCAGCCCTGACTCGTTCGGCGTCCATAGTCTGCGAATGGCGCCTCAAGTAGTCAGAGCAAGTGTGCACTGGCACGAAGTGTGGAAAAGAATAACCGTCTGGACCCTAACACATCTTCCATCAATTAGCCCTCTTAACACACACACACACACACACATACACACACATGGGTCGTCAGTCGCTAAACAACGAACGACTGGAGATAGTTGACTTATCGCGAGGTCATCTAAGCTTACACCAGAGCTGACGTGTGCACAACTGAATTGTTAGACCTGGTATCTGTACCCCAGTTGCCTTTACATCACCATCGTGCGTATGTGTCTGTCTCTGTCCAAAGGGGTTGAATGAAGGATTTTGCGAGTTACCGGAGGAGTGGCCTGCCTGAGGAACTGTACTGGACGTGCCGGTCACTTGGCTTCGTGACCTTTCTGTATGTTGACCGGTGGGGTTCTCAGACGATTTCGGGTTCGGCGGTTTTACCTTGTGGCTGCAACCTTTCGCAAAATCTTTTTTTAACCACTAACTACCAATGCCATGCAGGCAAGACTTTAGACTAGCCAAGTGGGCACCTTGTCTGGCAATTCGAAAATCATGACAACTCTGAAATCCTTGTGATATGGCAAAAACGCTGTTTTGCAGTGAAACACACAAGTACCGCGAGAAGTCAATGCATTTGCACCTTGACACATCTTCTATGTATAAATTGTGGACGTTTACTGCCAAGGAGGAGGACTAGTTTTAAACTGTTCATGAATATCATTCATCATTTGCAGCTAGATACCAGTTGCTATGCCAACTCATCATCTACAAGATAAAGCCTATCCAATTATTTGCTATGCATTTTTTAGAATTTCCTTAACTTCATCCTGTTGTTCACAGTTGAGGAAAGTTTTATACACCCATTTACATGAATCAACAGTAAGAACTGTTCATTATGCGTTCATTTGCCGATACCTTATCGTGTTACCTGTCTACTCTTGTGTTTTGGACAAATGCGACAGGCTGTTGAGTTATAAATTCCGCTTTTATCTGATAGATTTTGTCTGCTCACACGCTTAACTACAAACGGCCCCCTGTATCATACTCTTTTAATATAATTTTCCTCACACCTTGACTGGGTTCTTCCTGACTTTTAAGCGTAGGGCTGTGAGACGAAGTCCTATTTTGCTGCCGGTTCCATTGGAAGTACGCTATTGCTGAGCGTCCCAATGGCCTGTGGGTTGAGAAGCACGTCAGTACACCTCGACACATAAATGACATTCACTAGGAGAATGGAGAACAATTATCTTGAAGAGAGTGGAATGTGAAAAGCGCTCTACTGCAATAAGGCACGAAGAGGGATACATGATTTTAGTCCGGTTCCAACATTATATGAGGTGCATTCAACCTATTTCATTTAAGATTGCGAAGGACTAGTATTTGATTTTTTCCACAATGTTTTGGGCAGAGCTGACGTTTCCATAAAATTTTACAGCCTTGCTTTCCCGAAAAATATCCTCATCTTGGGTGGACTTCAGTTCTGACCTCGTCTAGGCCTTTCCAACAACCCCAACGGGATTCGAACCTTGACAGGACTGTGTGTAATCTCGACACGTTAACCACTACGCCACATTGCCACGAGTGCCCTTGGGTCATAGGGCATATGTGAATTTCAAGGAAGGTCAGGCCTTTTTCACATTCCGCATTATTTAGTGGGTTTCTCGATGAAGCAATTTACCACACTACTTCTTTTTCGTTCATAAGTAGGGTTTTAAGATTACCACCAGTCCTTCATCATCTTAAACGAAATAGAGTGAATACATCTCATAGAAAGCTTAGGATGCTTTCACCTGAATTGAAGAAGTTTGCCTCGGAAACAGTATCAGCAAGAATGTTCCAGTTGGTCAGCCGTCATATTCTGGTGGTATCGACCTTCTAATCTCCTCACCAAACGATTTTACTCTATTTTTTGAATTAAGTCAGCTCAGCAATCAACAAACCAAGAGATTTCTCTAAACCCATATTTTATCCGATTTTTACTTGGCCTTGCTTAACAAAGTTACTCTTATCATGGCTGAACTGGACCACAGCTTATACTTCGCCTAAATATTATCAGCCCTCCTGTTAGGAATCGAGCCCGGTGGTAAAGTGTCCAAATTACACACTTCCCTGCCCCGATTCGATTCCCGTTGAGGGTTCTAATGAGGTCAAGGCAAGGCCGAAGCTGCAGTTAACCATGGATAAAGTAGCTTATGGGAAGCAAGATTATGGAAAGCTCAAAGAAAACGTGAACTTGAGGGAAAATTTAACAATATCTTCTTCATCACCGTAAGCGAAACCCACTTTCTATAAGTAAAGGTGATGCTAGCTGCAGTTACACAAACAAAATCAGGCTCATCCTTCAAATATAAGAACTAAACAATAAAAGAATTGATGCAACTCAGAAGAGGATGTTGTTTGAAACTTTGCCAGTACAAATGTAATTCACTCTAGTACATCTGCTGGGGCTATTACTAGTGCCGTAAAGGGAGGAATGAAAAGGTCGGTGTGCATTTACATCATTCCCATGTTCATTTTTGGACTTTTACTCTTAATTGAGGTCCATCGTAGGAGCAAGTCTCTTTTGCAGAAAATGCTGTTAATTACAATCGTTAATATTCATCATGTATATGAGTTTATATTACCTTTAGATCTTGAATAAAAGTTAAATTTACCTTAGGTGGCATATTGCTATAAAGAATTGATAGCTAAATAGTACTACTGATATGAATAAAATTAGCCCTTCTGCGCGTGCTGAGGCAACCTAGGCGGGGTAAAAACTGCAGTCGAGTCCAGTTAAAATGAGAATAACTTTTGGGAAGCAACGCTAAGTATGCGAGGCAATCTTCTTGGATTCCGGTGAAGACGTGCTAAGCCTACATCCTTCGTTATGTGGGCATCTTCAGAACAAGCTATCATCCTTATCATCATATTC